TCCTGCTCCAGGATGCCCTTCTCTCCCTGGTGCAAAGAGAGGTCAGGGCAGGGGCCCCCACCTCCCCAAAGGCCTGCTCCTGGGAAGCAGCCCCATCATCTCGTCCGGAGAGGGGTGTGCACCTGCTTAGCCCCATCTCTGTCCATTAGGCGGGCAAACTGGCAAGGTCAGCAATCAAAATGGGAAAAGCCTTTCAGTCCTGCTTCTGTGGGGTGGGGGAGATGGAGAGAAAGCAGAAGTCTCTCTGGAGAGCAGGTCCGCCAGCAGGGCTCCCAAGCGGGGGCACCAACCTTAGGGCACCCCCCCTCTCCGTCACCTCTCAGGAAGGGGCAGATGGCTGGCGCTCAATCCAGGCATGTGCGGCCCACCCTGCACCCAGTGAATGTCTACTGCAGGAATGGCTCAGGAAGGAGAAGACAAGGGCTGGCACCACCCCAGGGGGCACCTGTTCCCCGGCTTCCTACAATTCCCCACTCTCCGATGCACATGTGGACAGGACGGCAGAATATTTTTCAGTCAAGGGGTTCCTCCCACCACATATAACCTTAAAGCTAATAATCCACCCCAAATAACATGGCAGCAGTCACGCTGAGGGGTACGTTCTAAGGCATGTCCAACAGCTGTCAAATATGCCAACATCTGCAGCTGGGCGAAGAGGCAGGCCGAGTCACTGGAGTTCATCTCACCCAGGTCTTGGCTACACCTTGGCCCAACCACCTGCCCCAGCTGACTCCCAGGAAGCCTTGGCTGCCTGCCAGCCGTGGGAGCTGCCCTGGTCGCAGGCGCCAGGACCTACCATGCTGAAGGTCAGCGATCGCAGCTTCTCATTCCCCTCCTTCAGCTGGCTCAGCTCCTGCTCTCCGGGCTCCAGAGCGCTGGCGGTCTTCAGGGAGTGCTCGCAGCAGTTCCGCTCACAGGAGGAAGGCTTCCTCTCCTGCTGCAGCTCCTGCTTCATCAGGTACAACTGCGGGGAGCAGGAGACGGGGGGAGGGAGTAAATGCTGGGTGTCCACCAGACCAGAAGCCTGGCGTGCCCTCCACCTTGTCCCTAAGGATGGTGCCGTTCCCTCCCACGAGACCTCAAACTCCGTAAAGGGTTTGAATATCTCAATTCCTGTGGGAGAAGAAAGGCGTTTCAGCTTTATTTTGTAGATGAGGTGTGCAGTTAACTGACTGGGCTGGGTCCCAGGGAGTAGAACAAGGGGCCCTGACAACAAGCTCTTCCATCTCTGGCCTGAAACTAGGTCACCAGCCCCCAGCGATGAATGGCCAGCAAGTAATCTCCAGCCCACTCCCCGGTTTCTCTGCCTTTCCATAGTCTGCTAAATACCCCAGATAGGGGACTTAGGATTCATGAAAACTGGTGAGTCAAAAGACAGAAAAAAGTGGAGTCTGATGGGGCAGAGATGCCTGGGAATGCAGGACAGTCTGTTCACACTGGCAATCTGAGTGCAAATATGTGCCACCACCTGCCCAGCGGGCAGTGTGTCCAGGGCTGTGGCCCTCTGGACACTACCTGGCCAAGTCCCACTGGCCTCCATCCTGCTGAATAGTGGCCCAAGAGAGACTCGTGCCTGTCTCCATCTGGGTGTGGCATCCCTGGGGAGCATGGACTTTCCCTGCAAGGCGAACCCAGGGGGCCTGGGTGTCAGGGTGGGTCAGACATGCACTCCTGGACCAGGGCCAAGCAGAGAAGGAAGAACCTTTCCGCTGAAGGAAGGACCTGCCTACAGATGCAGGCGGGGCAGCCCTCCCCGGCCAGTCCAAGGGCAGTTACAGGGCAGGGCATGCTCACTGCCATGTAGGCTGGGGGTGGTGGTGCTGGGGGTGGAGGTAAAGCATCAGTTATCCGCAGGGGTGCCCGAGCCTGGGGCAGGGAGGAGGCGCCGGGGCTTCAGGAGGTGGCGTAGCGGGTGCAAAGGCATGGCGTGGTGAGCAGCGGGGTCGGGCCGAGTGTCCTGCCGCGGGGAGCAGGGCGGCAGGGCAGGCAGCCGAGTACCTCCTCCTGCCGGCTGCGGCAGTGCGTGGTGGCCAGCTCCTCCCGCGGCGCGTTGCTGTAGTGCAGCGAGAGACTGAGCATCTCGTCCTTCAGCTTCAGAGCCTCGTGGAAGTGGGCGCTGGCCTCGCGCTTCATGCGACCGTGGTCAGCCTCCAGCTGGCACAGGCTCTCGGCCCGGGCCTTGGCCTGTCCCAGGTGCTCCTTCAGCAGCCGGCACTGCTGCAGCAGCGCCTCCTTCTGCCCCTTCTCCTGGCTCAGCTCCTCCTGCAGGCTGCCGATGGCCCCCGCCAGGCACTCGGTCAGTTTGGATGTCTCCATGAGCCCTGCAGGGGAGAGGCGGTGGGCCCTGGCACCGCCGCAGGCTTCTCACTCCTTAGCCTCTGGGGCTTTGCCTCCTGTGCTCAGACTCGCAAGCAGGACCTCCCACCCTAATCTGTGGGCCTCCTTCAAAGTTTCTAGGCTCAGCCAGCCTCGATATTTTGGTTAAATAAATAGTATGACCATTGATTTTGGTACAAAGATCACCTGCTTTCGTCTTCTCTGTGGGACCCTGCTGTTCAGACCCAAGTCTCTGCCCATCAGCCAAGACATGCTTGATGTTAACTCATTTTAATGTCATCCTAAGAAAACACGCCACCGAATATGAATCTGTATAACGGAACTCTAAAAAGCATAAATACAGACCGTGATGCCAAATAAGCAGAAAAGTTTTCTTATCCAAAGCTTTGAGTGATATCTGTCCTGCTCCTAAGAATATCTAACTCTTTCAACTGCTCCTCCAGGGAAGCCTAAAACTATTGAATTAATGCAAACAGCCTTCTCCCCCACCAAGCCGGGCGTACACCTTTCCTTGGCTGGCTGAGCAACTGCACAGAAGGCTGTGGGCTCCACACCTTTTCCCCTCTGGCAGGGGACTGTCTTCGGGCCCCCGTGAGAGCCAGAGCACCCTGGGAGTGAGGCTTCCCCTTGGTTTCAATCACAGGTCACCCAGGAGGGTAAAAGCCTTCTCAGGAGCTCTCCTACGGCAAGAGCCTACTTCCCCTTAGCTTGTGCCTCTCAGATGCAGATTCCATGCCTCCTGGTGGGGGGGTCTCCTCTTGGTGCTTGATAATCAGAGACAGACTTTTTCTTTTAGAATCTGACCCACCCCACTAAGGTAGTGGGGGTCTCCTCACCCTCAGAGTGCTGGGGGCCAGGGACAGGAACCTCTTCCTGGAGGGATCAGGGAAATGTCTGGAACAGCACGTGGGCACTAGGGACCTGAAGCTCCGAGGACACCGACGCCAGCCCCCCATCAGACACCCGGCTCTCACCACTGAAGTTGCTGAAGTCCATGTCAGGCTGCAGCCCAGTGACCAGGGTGTAGACGTCAGGGTTGTGGAACTTCAGGCTCTCCAGGAAGGCGATGGCCCCATTCTTTCCTCTAGTCTTCAGCAAATGCAGCAAGTGCCCTCGGGAGGAACCAGTCTCCTAACAAGGCACTGGTGGGCTGGTGGCAATCCCTGCATATCAGGGAGTCAGCAGGTGAAAGCTGTTCCCCAGGACCCCGGGGATGGCTGCCCTTCACCTGCTGGGTGAAGCTATTAGCTTTCCTGTTTTTAGATGAATAAACACAGCTGCTCCTGTGGGCGCCTCTAAGTCACAAGATACAGTCAGTCTCGAGATGTGAACGATCTTGAAAGGGGCAAGGCTTGTATTTATTGAACAACTACTAGGACCCAAGTGCTGAGAGTTGGAGATAAAAGACTAAGGAAAATGATCTTTGCCCTCAAGACCTCCCTGGAGTGTTGGTGGACACATGCCAACGCATGTACAAAGCACATGGGGGGAAAAAAGCGAGCATCAGTGCCCCAGGGCCGGGGTCCCGGAGAGCCTTGGGGCCCTCCAGGCTCACCCAGATCCCACTGCTCTCAGCTTGAATTACGAGGCTGCCTCCATTCCTCCTGTGTCTGAGGTTCCTAAGGCAACAGGCACAAATAGTATCATTTAATAGCGACCGCTTACTGCCCACTTTCTATGGCCCAGGCTTTGAGGTAAGCATCTCACGAACAGTTCTCCTAGAACCTGCTTGGTGGAGCTATTAGCTTTCCTGTTTTTGGATGAATAAACACAGCTGCCGAGAACATCAGCGTCAGCACCAAAGACACCTGGGTTGAACTGTGGCTCCCCACCCAGAAGGTAAGTCCACCTGGGAACCGTCAATGGGACCTTATTGGGAAAAAGGGTCTTTGCAGATAGATGTAACAATGGTCAGGGTCTTGAGATGAGAGCAGACGGGCCTCTGCAGGTGGGCCCCAAGCCCAACGACACATGCCCTTCAAGGGGACAAAAGAGGAGGGGCCACAGAGAAGGGACCCCGTGGCAACAGAGGAGAGTTGGGGTGGGGGTGGGGGACACAGCCACAAGCAGGCACTGCCTGCCGCCCTCAGAGGCTGGAAGGCGCAGCAATCCTCTCTCTGGAGCCTCCAGAAGGAGTGTGGCTCCGCCCACGCCTTGACTGCAGATTGCAGACTGTGAGAGGGCCCACTGCTGCTTTAAGCCCTGGTGTGGGGTCACTGGCTACGGCCCCAGGAAACCACTGAGTGGCCCCATGTCTGGGACTGGGATCCCTCATCTGTGCTCCCTGCCTGCACATGGCTGGGTGGCACCGCCTGTGCTGGGCATGCTCGGCAGGAAGGGCCCAGGGCCCGCGGTCCTTACCGACGCGCATGGCCGTGTGGGTGAACCTGGGGCTGTACAGCACCTCCTCCTCGTCCAGCCGGCCCAGCACCTTTGCCTGGTGTAGGTAGGGCGTGAGGCGGCTGGGGCAGATGCTGTGCATGATCCTGGAGCGGTGGTCTTCCATCATCTCCCACAGCTCCTCCTCGTCCAGGGCTGTCAGCGTGGAGTCCGTGCTCCTTGGCTCTGCCATGCCGGAGGCCGAGGACCCTGGAAGGAGGGCGGGAACTGTGACTTGGCTTCCGGCCGGAGAGGCCTTTCCGTCCGACCCCCTCTCCC